TTTCCAGTGAAATTTGTTTTGTTTTTTACAGTTAAGAGTAAATGAACCTAAAATGTACTCTCATGTAAGGAACGAAGTAGAGACCTGGGAATAAGGAGGGACGTGTGGTCAGTGCAGAAGAAACACCTTGTGAAAAAGCCCCCGAGGGTGGAAAATGACAGAGCGCGTGTGAGGAGCTGACTGCACATAGGGCAGCGTGGCTGGAGCAGGGAGAGCCGGGAAAGGCGGTGCAGGATGACGGTGGAGAGGCAGGTGCAGGGCACACGCTACAGGGTCTGCAGGGCTGTTGCCCCTTAGAAGAAAGGCAGCCAGGACAGTGACCAAGAGTGAAGAAGGTTCATGACCGAGAGTTGAAGGGTAGAGGGCAGGGGAAAGGGCAGGTGGGGAGGGAAGTCACTGGAGCCATGGGGGAGAGAAGAGTATGGTGGCTTTGAGATGATCAAGGGAATCACCACTAATCTCAACCAAAGAAGCATTTTTCTTTCTGTGAGCAGAAAGAGAGAGCAGCAGGGGAGAGACCCAGCCAGCTCAGGCTACTGGGGTGAGCTCCAGTCACGCTGAGACTGGCTCAGGGACGGACCTCACTGAGAGTCACGTTAACCACTTCCCTAAAGTGCCCAGCCTGGCAAAGACTCTGGGACTCCTACGGAGGCCAGGACGTCCCTGGGTGGGGCCAGACACAGGCAACCTAAAACTTTCTGACTGCTCTTTATGTGCAGCGAGGAGGCAGCCGTGCAGCGCTGTGGAGTCACTGATGGCGCAGAAGTACACAGATGTCTGGGAGGGGGTAGCTGACTCCAGCGTGAGGGGGAAATCCTCCATGTCTGATCTAGAGACATTGTAGCCTTCAGAGAATTCTCCTTTGTCAGTTCTTTGAACACCGTATGAGTAATGGATCAGCCTCAGCCCACGTCCCAGGTCTTGTCGATACCAGTACATATAGTCGTACTTGTCAGTCTGGTGGCATCTCAGTGTCACCTGCTTTCCTGTCTCTGTGACCCTGAATCTTGGGTTCTGGGTGATTCCAGCATCCGTGTGTCCTGTAATAGAGAGTGACAGAGGCTGATGCTGTCATCCTAAGAGAAAGACTTGTACTGAGGTCTTGGGAATTCCAGTGAAGGAAGCCACCTGTGACCAGCCCTCACCTGCTGTGAGGAGACAAAGGCCCACATAGAAGAAGAGCCGGGGGCCCATTTCAGGTCCAGGGCAGAATCTTGCGTCTCCCAGCCCTGCTTTGGGGAAATAGAACTTGGGCTCTTGGTGACTCAATGATGTCACTGTCCCTGGCAAATGCTTGAGTGGCAGAGCTGACCTGCCACACCCCTTCCCTTCTCCACAGGAGCAAATCAATTATATAAAGAAAGTTGAACAGCTCAGATTCAGAAGAATTTGTAGGTCTGTTTTTAAAGAAATCTTGTAAGTGTATATTCTCTTTTCCTGATTTTAGCAGGGAGATTTGTTTTTCTATGCATATTTTAGTCCCATTATGATCAAATTCCCCATTTGTATACTGTTTTCATTTGTCCTCACATTTGGTAGTCTAAGGAACAGTTACATGGCAGTACTAGTAGGACTTTTAAATGAGTTCTCTGCAAAACAATCAACCTCCAAGAAACTTTAATTCCTTTTCCTTTTAACCAAAACCCGGAAACTTGCATGTCAGCCTACAGTGATCCCCTGGGTCAAAGGAGCCTGTTGGCATTCAGAAAGGTTTCAAGATTTCAGCGTCATGACCAATACCATTTGCAGAGTTGCTTTACTCCCACTTCGATTCCCCTGAAAGGAGCCTCACTAGCCAAGCTCACGCCTGTGTGTTCTCATGGATGTGAATTCTCCCTTCGTTTCAGGTGAGGCCACGCGGACTACACCACCTAAGTCTCCTAGGTGAC